CCCCCCCATGAACGCATGTGAAAGCATGCATGTGAACGCATGTGAAGTTAAAACACGCCTGAAACGCACGGCCCCTTACAGGCGCCGATACCAAAAACATGCACAATACCAAAGAAAAACGCCCCTTGCCAATTCAACGCTCTCCCCAGTGGCCCCGCGGACACACAAAAAGTGCTGTAAATACCACACGGATTTTGCAAAAAAGTGCTCAAAATGCCCAGGCCGTCTACGCCCGGCCAGCCAACTACATTGACCCCTCAAAACCACCCTAATGTAGGCATATATGACCGTCCCATGTCCATGTTTGGGATATGTTTAGGTCTTAGGGGGAACACCTGTGACGGTTCACGGGGTCGACCATTTGAGACCCTTTCGATCGACACCAGGTCTTCACAGGTGGTGTCACTCCTGTCGTTCGGTGGTGCCCCCCACGAAAGAGAGAGACCAAACACACCAACTTACTACCAGGCCCGTTGCTAGGCCCCCCCAGTCTTCTCCACCCCAAAAACGCCTTCCATCTCTTGCCCATCTAGGTCTACAAGCCCAGGTCTTTTGCCTTGTTGAACCCAACCCAAACATGTCCGTCTTCGCCTCGACGGAGGAGCCTACCGCGTCTTCGGACTGCTGGCCGCCCTAGGATCCGGAGAGTAGGGGAGTTGGCCGCGTCTTCGCAAAGGGAAGAGCCAAAGACAACTGAAGGATTGATATCTACTGGGTACTGTACTACAGTATATACTATATATTTATTCTTTGTATCTTTTTTCAATATTACTTATTGTAAGATACGTATGGAAGGCCCATGGGATTTACAAATGATTCACTGGTGGGCGGGGCCATTCAGGCGTGGGCTTGACAGGTGTGCGTGGTCGCCAGTAGCTGGCAGGTGGGGAGCGCACACGCATGGATTGAGAGGAACAGAGTGACAGCCTTGAAATAGATCATATACACATTGTGCAGATTTCTGCCCTTTGGCCAATTTGGCCCTTGTTCATTTCATCGTTGGAGAGTCACTGTAGGACAGAGCTTCGGCCAGGAGTGTAGGTGTATATATATATATATGTATATACACATGCACAACGCAGGCAATAATTCACCCTTTCAAACATTTTGTGAACATCGTTCTGCCGCTCTGCCTATTTGGAGAGAGCTACGGAGAAACATGGTTCAATCACCAGGCCCCATGCGTCAACCATTTGTTTCAAGCAAGTGAGTAAGTGTCAGTGTTGCTGATAGGAACCTTTCTATATATTAACCACTCTTTTTGCATCATCACTTGGCATCTAAGCAAGAAGCTTGGCAGCGCTTCGCCAGCCTGCCCCGCACGTCGAAGCGCCTGTGAGCCCACTCCGCCTGGTAGGATATTACTTTCTCATCTACCAGGGGCTCCAGGCCTTCTCCACCTCCGCCGACTTCCTGGACGCCATTTGGGGACCCAAGGCCCACGGCTCCGTAGCCTTCATGACGGTGGACTCCGGCGTGCCGCGGAGGTGAAAGCGGAGGTGGAGTTGGAAGGGGGAGCGGATGAATGTCATTCCATAGACCTTTTTGAACCATGTGGAAAAACTCATGGAAAATACATGAAACAAGATGAACATAACCATTCTATCATTTGTGGGATTGCTTAATAATTGGAAGATAGAACATGTTTGTAGATTAAGCAATATGGTATGGTTGGAAGATCTTTCAAAAATGACACGCTGAGCGGCCCTGATACTGTAGCTTGACATGAACGGGCCTTCTACGTTTACATTGTTGACATGGGTGTGGCATGGTATGGCTTTAGGAGTGATATGGGCTTTCGAGGTGATTGTGGGCTGGTCGATTGAAGTTTCTTTCGGGGAAGAGTTTGGCCTTTGGGTTTGATCATGGTCCTTTGCAAGATGCCTTGGCTCAGCTATTAGGACATGAAAAAGGGGTTGGGCTCCCAAGTGTCATCCTTGATCACAAGAGAAAAGAATATGGAATGTTTGTGTCTTCGAATGTTTCGCCCCATGTCCTCCAAGAATTGCTCGGTTCATGGTTCATGTCTAGTGACCTGCCTAGGTGCTTTCCTTGGCACCTCGTCATTCTCCCGGGCGTTGGAAGATGTGGACTTGGAGAGTTGGGAAACCATGTTCGCATGCTGAGCCAGGAGTGTAGTTATATAAACAATACTCAATACCATGAACACAGACTGTCACTCAATAGCATGAACACCGACCGTCCTTCTATGCGATGCTGAACACTGCTATGGGAAAAGGACACGGTTCACTCAGTTGCTGGATTTTGGATGTGAGGTGAACGTGTTGAACAGTTATGACCAGGAGGATCATCAACCCACACATGGTAGATCAATCACCACAAAAGTGCTGTCAAGACCGGCAGATGGAAAAATAACACAAGACTGCAGGCTTTGCTCTTGTACGTGCTGATGACCTGTGATACTTTATCCTCCATCCTAGCGTTGCTGCTGACGCCTTTGCTTGGCCCCGGCTGTGCGGTGGCTTTCGCGCTCGCGCGCCGCGAGAGGATGCGACTGGCAGAGCTGGCTGGTGAGGGACGCCAAGCCTTGTTGTCGTAGGATCGCAAGATGCTCAGGGGAGCAGCGTCGTTTCCCTTTTGAGCTCTTGAACAGACGTAGTAACAGACGTGGCAGTGTATTGGTTCAATTGAAGGCCAATCTTGCTGTGCTCTTTTCTGTGGGCCTTTCAACCCTGCTGGCCGGCGAGTGCCGTACTGGCTGGCCCTCCAGAAAAGTGGTGAACGCGGTTCCAGGATTTCGAGCCGAAGAAATAGGGAGCCCTTGAGGCTGAGCGCTGGACCGGGCGACGTCGGCTTGCAGCCACGTTTGGACGCAGGACTTCTTGAGACTGATCAGTCATCCATACTCTCGAGGAAGTGGATGGCATGGCTGGTAAGATGTACCCTGGAAGACCGGAAGACCTCAAAATGTGTTTTCAAACGGTCTCAGGTTGATGGATGGACCTTGCCATTCGCCATTTTGGTGAACGATGGCCGGGAAGCTCAACAGCATAATGGCTCAGTGAAACTGGATGTGAAAGTTGCCAAAGTGGTCACTCAGTATTCTCAGTAAAAACTGAAGCACTTGGTCAGTCATGATCAGAGCGAATTTCTTCGAATTCTGATGAGAATTAGCACCAAGCTGCAAATGTTCACTCTCCCGCTCACTAATATAAGTAGACCTGGAACAATTACTGATCTCAGGGCAAAATGATCTTTCACTTCCATGTTGGGTCAGAGTGCGCTGGTTGAAGGCCTGCTGGTTGTGCTGCTTCATGGGTAACGAGGAATCGACGGGAGGAGGAGGTGACAGCGAAGCATCCCATAGTCTTTCAAACTTAAAGCCTGAAGCCCCGGTCCATCATGTAGCTTGACTACCCATGTAGGTCAACCAAGTATGTCACCAATTCTTTGTTGCTCTTCCCTCTCTGAAAACATACCCCCCTCAAGGCTAGCCCATTTCGATCGCTTGGCTCGGTGGCAACACCGATCGAGCGGCCCAAAGAGGTCAAGAGAATTGGACTGTTGATGAATAGAAACCCTAAGTATAGACTCTTGATGCACAAGGGATCCACCCACTCAGATGTCATGAACACGACCCCCCAGACATGGATTGTGAAGCCTCTTCAGGCCTGGGGGTTTGACGCATCCAGAGTCCAAGTTACTCTGGATGGTCAATCATCTCCATGTTAGTATTAAAAATATATAATATAAGTATATAAGTGCTAGCATTAGTGCTTTCTAGTCATTGTGCAACAGTCATCAACAGTCAACATTAGGTGGGCTTGGTGATTGACCACCCCAAAGGAAGGTCTTGGATTGCCTATGAACTTTTGGGAGGGCGCTGGTGTGTTTCTCCTTTGATCATTCGAACGCGCGCACGGTTTTTTTCCGCTCACCATGGCACCGAACTCCTGCGATTTCTGGGGAAAACCTGTGAACGGAGCAACACCCAGGTGGATGGAGCTTAACTCCTGGTGTCAAGGCGCAGCGGTGCCCTGGAGAGGGATCCGGGAAGCGACCAGCGCTGTTGAGCGCCCGTCCACGCTGCTACAGATGGAAAGAGAGGACATGTGAGGCTACACCCCAGATAGTTTGTTCTGCGAAGTGAGGCACATGGGAAGAGTGACGTAAAGAAGTTAGCTCTTTGTGGCTCAGCACAGCTACCAGAGATCCACGGAAGTAGGACCAAAATGGACCAAAGGCACTCCGACTCCGACTGGCTGAAGTGAACAAAAACTCCCCTGCTGGTACAACGGAAGAGTGTTTTCTTCAGCGCTGTCGGTGACATCCTCCGCGGAGATGCGCAAACCGCCACGCCAGGGCAGCAGCTCGCAATGCAACGATGTTCTTTGCCCCCGCTTGACGGAAGAGTTCCTCGGAAAGCTTTGTGAGTGCAAACCTGTGCTCCCCCATGGAAGCCGGACCCCACCGAGGTAGGAGTCCTAAAGCAGCAGTTTTGCAACTGGGCATGTTTTCTATGACTGACTGGGCTACGGGATCTGTAAGCATGCTGATTGATTTTGTCAAGCCAGACTTAGGGCTCAGATGATCAGAACATCACAGCACCATGTTTATCGTATAGAGGTCGGCTTTGGCAGCGTTCACCAGAGCCATACTGTGAGGTCCACTAGTCACGTCCCGATGCCATTGACCTCCTTTGGCAACGGTTGGACTTTCTCCTTCTTCAAAACATTGTTGAAGGGGTTGTGTTAATTTTTCTCCTGTGCTTGGGTGGGGGAAGCTACCTCGGACAACTTCTAGTCCAAGCTTCCCTGCATTCCCCTGCTATGGAATGGGACGTCCAGCACCGCATGGCAGCCACATGGGCTACAGAGCCTTCACGACTTGATGCTTGTAGATGGCAACAGGTCCAAGATGGTTTAAGATGCTTTAAGGTGGTTTGATCCAACTTGCCAGTCAAAACCAGGAGACGACCTGGCTTTTCCCACCGACCAGGAACAGAATAGACGACCAGGGAGGTCAACCTACCATGGTTAATGGTTTAGAGCGGTCCAAGGACCCAAGCGAGCGCCGATGTGACCAGGTTGTGCCCGAAGCACGAGTTTCTGACCCCAGATGGCATGGACAAGCTGATGCTGAAATGAGGTCAGTGAAAGCCAAAGCGCTGTCGTTCGTGACCCTCTAAATGGACCATTCTAGTTGAGTGGTTGAGCGCAGAGCAGCCACAAGGTGTTCAGCTTCCATGATCGATTAAGGCAGAGCCGAAGCTAGAGTGAGAAAAAATGAGGGGAAAGTGGTAGAAACCGCAACGGAAAGACCATCAAGAGGGTTTCTCATGAGGCATCGAAACTGGATGCGTTATAGCGTGTGGCAGATTCTGCCGGCTTCGACTGTCAAGACCTTGGAGATTGAAAGTGACTTTGCAGAAAGGCCCTGAAGTAGATACTGCCTAGCACTTCCAATGGATGTCCAATGGAGACCTATAATAAGTAATGCAGGATTGTCCATGGGTGACCCCTTGGAAGCAGCTGGTTGGTGGCTATTTGACTTGCAGAATCACCATGCAAGGCCGAAGGTTCCTGTGGCAGAGGTGGCAAGTGAAGGACCAAAGTCTTGACCCAACATAGTTTTGTCGCGAAGTTGCCCAAGGCAGTATTGCGACCGAAGGCATTGCTGAGCTCACGGAAAAAGCAAACATGTTGTATCATTTGGGTAGCTCCAAGTGTCTTGACTGACTAGATCATGCTAGATCCAAGTTGTTTGGGACCCGTTTTCCGGTTACACTCTTACGGATGGGAGCGAAGACGGATGCTCACTGTAGAGATCCTTGGACCTTTAGGATCTGGAAGGTTGGTGAGAGGATCCGGGTCAGGGCATCCAAACAGTTTAGTTTAGCTGTTGGAAGGGCACGCTATGACGCCATATTGTATTCACCTCCTCAGTAGCGCCAGTCAATGGTATTCTGGACGTTCACAGCTCTGCCCCCTTCCTCTGAGAGAAACTTTGCTTTGTAAAGCACCAAGTTTCCCGCAGTAAAGACGTCAACGGCTTGCAGACTGACAAGCACACTGAGAGCCGAAACCTGACGCCTTCGAGCTCAACTGACCTCCTAAGAGACGGTGAGTTAATGCCCCCCCCCCCTGCGGACGTGAGACAGGGAGGGCGAGCACACGGGCGAACGTTGCTTCTCATGCCGTGTCCAACTCACCCCGTCAACCAATCACACGGACCACGGCTGCGAATGGCAGCCCCAAATCAAATGACCGTCCTGCCGTGTATCCGTGGGGCTGCCAGGCAGGTTTTGATGGAATTTCCCGTGAGGCACCGCAGGTCTCTGCAGGTGTAGATGGTAAAGATGGTGTCCCGAACGCGGCCCGGCGGCATTTCGGCTTCAACTTGAAAGGGGCCCCATTAGACGACAACAAAACGCACAGGGTCGAACACACGGACATTTCCGAATCGGCTTTCTTACAAGCAAGCAATGGGGGGCCAACATAATAGGTATCTCTTGCAGGGTCATGCAATCAATGTGATAAAATACGTCACTTCCAGTTGAAATCTACAGCGAGCCACACCGAGTGACTCATTGCAAAACGGCCTGGTGAGACCACGCTCTGCGCTCTGCGCGGCTCCATGTGCTAGCGAGGCAGTGGATGGGGGAGTGAAGGGGGGCAAGGGAGCAATGCATCTGAGCTGCGGCTGGCCAGTTTGGACGAGAATTGGGGACTTCTTCAGAATTCTGGCCAGGTTGGTTTCTGTATGTTTTCCGTGGCCGAAGCAATCTCGAGAATTATACAACTGACTTGGTTTTTGAGGGGCTATCTACGGATCTATCATGGTCTACCGCTCTGAAGCTGCAACATTTTGATCAGCTATCGGACCAGTGAATCAAGTATGTCAAAGACCCCTAGCTGGTCCTTATATTGTGCGTAGTATTTGTATGCATGATGTCGCACAACCTGAAAAGATGAATAGCCCGCTCGATTGAAGAACTCTGAGACTGTGCCAGGTAGTCATGTTGTTCGCTCGACATGTTTTACGATCAGCATAGGTGGACCGAAATGGAACTCAGACACCATGCTAGAATAGCATGAATAGTACGGTATAGCTGCCATTGTGCGGACAAGGTCAAGCACCTTGTCAATTTCCAGATGTAAGTCCAGTGATTTTGCAATCTTTCGTGCCACTGTTAGTGCAGATGTTGGACGCTGAAACGTTGTTTCTATTGAACTTGACCTCCGAAGTCATTGCTAATGCGTTGCTGGGTGTAAGCTGCCAGGCGGGACGGGTTTTGTGGACGCATGTTAGTAAGTCAGCGTGTACGTCAAGTGTTAAGAGAATTATCATTACTCCAGATGTACCTGACCTCGCCGGCAGGGTGTTCACCCATGGGACTTTGGCGTGCGGGCGCCTACGCCAAATCAGAGGTTGGTCAGACGATGGTCCAAAAGAAGGGGGGCCCACCAGCCAAGACCATGCATTTTTTTTGGGGGGGGGTGAGATTCAGATTCATAAGCTCAAAGGGGCAGGTTTAGCGAGGTTGATGAATCTTATTGAATCTTCCTCGGTCCTAAAAATCCTAAAATGAGATGGAGTGCCTCATTGCCTATGGGTCCATGGCCAATGTCATGGAGAGACAATTGAGAGAGAGAGAGAGCCTTAAAATGAGAATGCTGCCAGATTGAAAGTGGCAAGGCTCGGTGGGTGTTTCAATAGCCAGTTTGGAGCTTTATCTTCCTTGAGTCGGGTGGGCACGAGGTGCTAAGCCAGTTCCATTTGATGTTGATATCAGGATTGAAAACCGTGGCAAGACAAAAACATTTTATGACCTATCAAGGATTGTGCAAGTGTGAGTGTCGCAATACTCATCCTACCGTGAAGCTCAGAGTTGGTGCAACCGCAAGCCATGTAGGTGTGGATGCAGGACTCAGCAGTGCTATGCAGGACTAGCCCAGTATGAAGGTCGACACCCCGGGCTATGAGAGTACAATACTTGTGGGACACGCGCACAAGCGCACCCACGCACACGCACGAATAGCACAGCTCTGAGGTTTGCTGACGATCGCCCTGATCGCTCTCTCAGAGGCTCACGAGCTGCTCCGGTCTCGGGGTCGACCATGGGCACCAAGTTCCATCCCACATGCAGCGTTGGGATGCTTTGGGTCTATTTTTTGGAATAGATTTGAATAGTAACTGTTTGGCTATGAGGATGCTAAGAGGGACCTTTGCGTTCTCATGAATGCGGTTCATTTGTTTAGGTTTTGACGATTCAACATGATTCAACTCACATACATGATTCAACTCACATGTACAAAAGAGTGGATGTTTCTCCATCGGGAAAGGCTCCGCACACCTTGGGTCACATATGCCTCTGTCTTTGCATGGACATTTCGTCCGTGCACAGATCCAAAGTGAGAGCACTGCGCGTGGCCCGCCCCGCCCAGCTCACAGGGGAAGTTCTCCAGAAAAGGCGTACGGCAGATGCATAGGATCTGTGAATAACTGGCAGGTAGCACAGACAGATATTTGACAGTTTAGAATCACCTGTTGGAATCCACATGTTCTTTGGTCGCAGCTTTTGTTATCTACTGGTTTTTTGGAACCCGGTCGCCCTGAAAGCCAACCAATCAACAAACAAGGTCCTAGGTCCTTTGTTCATTTCTCTTCTGGGAAGCAGAAAGCTTCCAGGGTGTCGTCTTCCCTTCAGATCCTTCACGCCTCAGGGGTAAGCCACCGCACTCTCTCTCTCTCTCTCGCCACTGAGGAGGCATTCCAGTGGTTTTTCAAGGTTTAATTTATATAGGTGCCTTCTTGTTTGCCACAGGGTGAGCCTGTCCGTGCTATTTGTGGTGCACAATGATCAGACTTATCACAGGAAGTTTGGCCTTCCAAAGTCCTCGACCATCTTCCGAAGTCAGGGTGCTGGGACAAGACACGAAGTCTCACATGATACCATTGCCATCCATTGATCTACCTTGTCGCTCAGGTAAACCTCCTTCAAGCACCCCATTCCTGTCACATCTTCCATACCGAAGCGATGGGGCGATCCCAATCGCTGCCCACCTTGCTTTCGTTCTGCCTCGGTGGTGTGGCCTTTTTCGACTTCTTCGCGACACAGAAAGACGCGCCGGAGAAGGGCGAGGTGCCCACGGCGGCTTGGACACAACGAAGCCATGCAAGTTGGACATGTCAATGGGCTTAGTATGGGAATGGGGCTCTTGAGGAGGGCGGAATGGTTGATGACGGGTGCAACCAGACATGTTGGTTTGGTGCTGACGGTAGGCTCTTAACCCCCTCCATGGGTAGAGTTCAGGTGATTTGGGACATGAGTACAAATGAGTGATGAATACAGGAAAATACAGGCATTGTTTGGAAGATGGACCACGATTGGCTGGTTCACTATGAACAGCTTGCAGAATTGGTTTATGACGCTTTCTTGGTTTGGCGGCCTCTTGTGATCCTACCAATCGAGGAGACACATGCAGTCAGAGATGAGCAACATTCTTTCATACTCTTTCAACCTTCATGTATATATACCAGGGCCCCCTAAGGGGTGGTTAATGGATACCCCTCAACCTCTAAGGAGCTATAATTAGACACCCCAAACCAGGGGGCCCTGGTATAGTATATATATATAATGAGGAAGTGAAAGTTAGAGCATTGTTTGGGAATGTCAGTTTTTGTTGATGTACACTTAGAACATGGAAGGCACATTGAACTTAGAACATGCCAACCTTGGGAACTTAGAACATCACAAATTATGTGTATAGCCAAAGAAAAACAACATACCCTGCTGAACAAGGAACTTAGAAACAGCGAGGTGATACCGCAACAAGGGTGGTGTATGTGAACAAGGGCCTTACTTAGAATCAGAACAAGGAACATAACTCGGCCGAGTCTGCATGGGAACACATAACATAGAACACTTGATCATATATCATCAACATTGGATAGCAGCTTGTATATATCATGGTATCATGATATCATGGCAGGGCATAGCGTGATACCATCAACAAATAGAACGTACCATAGAACACTTTATGGTATATCAACCATGAATGCACAAAGCTTTATATATCATGATACCAGGATAGTATATATATGTACAGTATATAAATACACATGTATATAAGCTATAGTTCATAGACAGTATATTATAAATGTACTATGTATAGTTTTATATGCCTGAGTTCTGGCTCAAAGGGCAACACGGGCCAGAGCATAACCTTCCTAACGCGCCATGGCACTACCTGAAAAGGTAGAGAAGCTGGCAAATGACGAGGGGATGCTTGGCATTGAAAGTTTGCTTTGCCAGGTGCAATCGTGTGATTCGCATGGCTTGGATCAAGTGTGGTTAGCACCTTCGGAGACATTGGCAGGTGGCATTATGAAGGCCACTTGACGACTTTCGTGTCACCCAAGTATATGATTTGCAATAATATGTATCATTATATGTACACACATATGTAGAGAGAGAGCAAGAGAGACAAAGACACGAGATTGGGACAACTCTATATATATGTGTGTATGTTCTAAGTTGGCTTCTGTGAGCGCTTTCATGGCTGAGGTGATGAATCCAAAGCAGCACTTGATTTGACACAGAGGAAGTTTGAATTGAAGAACATCCTGCGCACACTGGACATTGACGAGAGACTGCAGGGTTACCCTTGTTTTTTGGTTTGCCGTGGGGGGCGTTCTTTGAAGCAACAACGACGACGTCCCCGATGTCCCGGACACCCGTGCCCAGCTGAGGACGACCTGTTCGCGACCCGCACCGCCGTGACGGAAAGCGAGGAGGAGAAGGCCCAACCCCAGCCGACAAAGTCGACCGCAAACCGAAAGACACACTGCCGCCAGGACACGGGAGCGCAAACCAAGCGTTTCCCGAAGAAGAAGAAGAAGGCCACAGAAATGTGAACGCACCAGAGAAGTGCTTCGGGCCGTTTCGACAGGTCCGCATGCAGAAACCCAACTGGGCACAACTGGAGCTAGCGCACGAATGCGGCCACGGCCTAAACGGAAACGCAAACGCTGCACAGAGACCTGCGCCGTCGAGCGTTCGCGCCGCAGGCAAAGCTTCTGTGAGCACAGCAGAGGTGCCGGGCCCGGTGCGGCACCTGGCCCTGCGGCCGCGTGCGCCAGCCCAGGCAGGGAGCGCACAGGCCACCGACGCAGACGCGCGGGCGACCGGCAGGTGACGGAAGCGAGGAAGTGAGCGCAGCTGTCGTGGCTGCTCACAAGACGCCGACATGCGAGGTCTGCGGAACACGCACTTCCGAAAAGTTAGCAAAAGTAGGTTCTTCCACGGTTCCGAGGTAACCGGGCCCGCAGAAAAGACGAAACAAACAGACGGTAGATGACACCATGTTTTGTTGCACAGATCACCGGTCAAAGGCAGAGGATGTGTAAACGACCATTTTCACACCAATGGGTTGTTTCAGCCCACGTACTCAATGCTATACAAAACGCGTTTGTGTCAGTTGAATGGCTGCGTTGTTCGGCCAGGGGACAACCAGCGTGAGGGCCATGGCAAGCCATCGGCAGGCAGTCGAACCTGTTGCCTACCAAACCAGTCGAGCCGTGCTGCGCCCAGGCCAGGCAACCCCAACACACCGCTACCGGAGCAAAGCTCTGGAGAGGCCGCGACAGGCGGGGAACGCAAAGCCCGTGCAGACCCTGCACGCTGACCGCGGCGCCGCGGCGAGGTCCCCCTGCGATTGCAGCCGTTGCGACCAAAGCACCCCCGAGAGGCGCGCACCAGCGCCGAGACGCGCACACAGCGAGCGCATCGTACGCCCGAGGTTGGCCGGGTGGAGGACCACGAGGGAACCGACCTCATCCTCGCGACGCGTGCTGAGGCGCAAACGGGGATCCCACTGACACGGGGCAGCGAAGAACATGTGCGTCGTTCGCAAAATTAGCGTCCGTTACAAGGGCGTTTCATCCCAGAGCGCGATTTTTGCTTGTCCTTGGCAAACGGGACGGGGCGTCCAAAAAAGAACGAGACCTCGAGTGTTACATGCATTAGTTACTCGATTTGTTTTGATTTCATTTTGCTACATCGTCCTGCTACAGCAAGTTTTCGGAGCATTTGTGCTCAAAGGTCTGAAGGGCATCGCTTCATGAACTGGTTTGTTCTTGCTTGCGTTTGGCGGGCTGTGTCGTGGCCCGGCTCTGGGCTCATGGGCTGGCCCCAGCCAATGAGGAAAGGCGAGAATCTGGAACAAGGTGCCCGCCTGTCGGTTTGGACAGGGGTTGTGTGCTTGCAAGTAGGTTGATGTCATTAAAAAGTGCAAAAAGTCAGCATCATACAACGATACCCCAAAATGATCCCCCAAGGATACACGAAAGAGTGCAAAAGGCAGGCTCGTTAGACAGTGCCCCATGGGCAAGTCTGCCGAGGTGCAGGCAGACTAAAGTCTTCGAGCGAAAGAGATCGGATCAGCAACAAGCGGCCTCTACTCTTAAAAAATATACACAACAAGATCATTTGGGTATGCTTGTTCACTAATGTAGATATCTTTAGATGTTCTAAGTTGTGCGTTCCCAAGGTACTTGTGTGCCAGCCTATGTATGGTTTAACCCTCAACTACTCAATGTTCTAAGTCACCAGTTTCCCAAGAAAGCCAAACATGCAAATATAAATACAAATATATCAATATGTTCATGCACATACCTTTACTCTTAAGACATTTACACAACAAGATCATTTGGGTATGCCTGTTCACTAATGTAGATATCTTTAGACGTTCTAAGTTGCGTGTTCCCAAGGTACTTTTGTGCCAGCCTATGTATGGTATAACCCTCAACTACTCAATGTTCTAAGCTACCCGTTTCCCAAGAAAGCCAAAAATGCAAATACATAAATACATTAATTTGCGTTCGCATTCCTTTACTCGTAACATATTTACACATCAAGCTCGTTTGGGTATGCCTGTTCACTAATGTAGCTATCTTTAGATGTTCGAAGTTGTGTGTTCCCTAGGTACTTAAACAAATACTTTCCAAGTATCTGTAAGAATAATACTGACTATTTGCCAGATGCAGACATACATACATACATATATATACATATATATTTATTTATATGATGTCATGTGATCTTGATTCCGTGCGGCAGGCGAGGTTCAGCGCCAATGGGTGATGCAGAAGGGGGACGACGCAACTTCCAGAGCAAGAACTTTGGCAACTCTTTCTTGTTTCACCATTGTATTTGTGTGCGTGTCTTTCCTACACTGACGGCATGTCTTGCGCCAGCTGCTGAGAATTCAGCAACAAACAAATGCAAGGTATATATACTGTGCAGGGCTGCCATGCATACATAAATTGTATATATATATATATGTTTTTTAAAGATAGAGATTTTTTCTTTCAACCATGTATATGTATATGTATATAATTATGCTGTATATATATATATATATGGGGAGTTGGAGTGTGGAAGACAAAATGTATATGTTCTAAGTTGTTGTTTCGCATTGAGGTTATTTGACCTCCAAGATATAAGTATATGTATGTGTATGTATATATATATATATATTGAATAGTTCTCACACATGTCCTGCACATCTGAATTTAGGAGCCTTTTTTAGCTTCCACGTACAGAGCATGACCAGACAAAGACCAGAACAGAGCAAAGAGAAGAAAAACATTTCGGGCAACACTTAGAACATCCGGTCTTACATTACATGGTTTGTCTTATTTTAAGGTCTGGATGTTCTAAGTGTGGGCGTTTTTGGATGTTCTAATTTCTTATGCAAAATCGCCTAAACGTCGTTTTGAAGTGGATTTCGATGTTCTAAGTTTCACTAACACGTTATATATATTGTATACTAACTATATCTCTTTATATATATAACAGCTGCTGAAACCTTCATGCAACTCTTTGTCCGAACATGGATGCCTCGTCATCCAGCCCACCCAGCTCGATCACGCAAATCCTCACGGTATACACACACAGTCTCTTTTTCTAACGGGCAGTAGCTCGAGATATATATACATATGTATTAAAAAACACATAATAGAGAGATATACGTACACTCCCTGGAATAATGATGGACGTAGAAAAGGCTCCACCTGTTTGTAGGGAGAAATGGTTACTGTATCCGAACGCCATTGTCCACTTCCATCAGGGAGTGTATGTTACAAAATTTGCCCTGCAAATTCACAGGCCTGTTTTCTTCTTTCACCCGAGGCCAGCTATGGCCAGCTGAAAGTGCTGAATGGCCTCCGGAAATGGGACAAAGCCGAGGAGAGATGGACACAGTACCTGGGTGTGCTATCGTGGTGGGTCAGTGCCGGAATCCGAAGGGATTTGATTGTGACAAAGGGGTTGCCCTCCCTCAGCGACCCTGAGCTAGCAACTACTGTAAAAGAGAAAAAACACGGTTGCATTTGTAAGGGCGGGCGCTTCACTTGGAGTGTGTATATCACCTTCATTTGAGCGCTATCATGAAGTCCAAACCTGTTTTGTTTTGTCCAGCAATGCCAACTGCATGCTTCTTGCCGTGGCCGCTGCCACCGCTTTGTCCAGACATAACGGCACAAGGTACTCCAGGGAGACTGGCTTTTCCGATTCGACGATGCCAGCCAACTTGGCCACTGAGCTTTCATGGTGCTTCTTTTGTTGCAGAGAGCTGGGCTTGCCATGCAGAATCTCAACGGTCGCAGCGCAGCTAGCCTCACCAGCCCAGCAACACACAAATGTGTGGCTATAGGTCAGACGATTGTAGTCGCCGGGATGAATCAAGGACTCATTCTCTCTCTCTCCCTCTATTTTTTCTAGAGTGTATAACCAGCCTAAAAGAGCCTAAACGTGCAAAAATAACAAGCCTCTGACTCTAACCTCTAACAAGACCACAAGCCTCTAAGCGCTAAAGCATCCAAACCAATTTTTGGAGATCTTCACCAGCCATATAGGCCTCAAACCAGCCCTCAATCAATACAAACCAACAATAAACACGCGACGACCAGAAACGACCATTCAAAACAAACGGTGATAAAGAACAGCACAGCACACACAACCAGATCCCAACAGCCCAAACCATCCAGCCTCTAAGGTCTATGACTCCATCCAGCACCTAACTTACTAAGAGCCCAAGCCTAAACTCAGCGCAAGTTGTGAAGACACAAGAACAAACACTAAATGCAAGCTGCTTGCAAGAACCGCAAACAACAATGGCAAGAACACATTTCGAGACACATAGTGACACGACAGTCCTCCTTCCGATTCCAAGACAACTCTAAAACAACATGAAAATACCAAGACACCACGACACAAAACCACTCTAAAGACATCAACACTGAATATAAATATAATATATATTTGTACTATAGATTTAAAAAAGAAACGAACACACAGAGATACCAAAACAAAGAACTGAAGCTACCAAGACTTTCACACAATACAATAGACCCGCACACATTGAAGACGCGAAGACGACAAGACGACGCCAAGACCCACGGACCGAAGTAGCCGAAGCAGAGAACCAACGCAGCCACCAGGCTGCGTAGCACCTACGTACTGACCAGCCAGCAAGGCACTAAAGAACGACAGCATGCAAACTCAACCAGCTAGTCAACCAGAGGCGGGTCTAACATGGTCCAACATCATCTAACAGCCTCAGTACAACCAACATTAAACCAGTCACATCACCCTCTGAGTGCCTAAGCTTCAATCCAACATGTTCACTACGAAGCAAACTACAAGTGATCAACCCCAGCTGCCGTGGCCTTTGGTCAGACAGTGAGTTGTTGTAGCCATCACTGAGGTGCAAGACTTCATTCTGCAGCCGGAGAACTACAAGACCAACCTCTTGAAGAGCCTCTCAACTGAAGCTGGAGACATGCTAACCCTGTTCCGTTCTTCGCATGCGCTGGTGACTCCGAGTTGGAGGCCTCCCTTGGAGCCCCCCAAACCTCCAGGCCTCCCGTGCAGTCGACAGCGTTTTCTGTCAGCTTGCACGGAACATTCGACCGATGTATTTCGATCTCGGTGAAGCAATGGTTCGGGGCATGTTCCAAACAACTGCAGGAGCACCAATTTCCCGCGAACGGCGGATTGCGTGCACACATTAGATCACATTAGCACCCCAAACGCAGGCTTTGCCTCCTTGGCCAAGCTCCCATCGCTTCAAGTGGATGCTGACGAGGAGACCGAGTGACGGGATCGAGCAGCCTCCTAACCTCTATAACTGTGAGTGTCGAAGGGATGAGACGTTTGCAGGTTTGGTTCCAGCATGGACTCCTGTAATTTGAATGTACCTTCGAAGATTTGGTAGAGGATGTTTCTCAAGTCGTGTAATTCTTCGCCGTGCAGTGACCCTGCTTGGAGTTTTGCACCTGGCTCGAGGTCCAAGACCCCCTGGCTCGATCGGCTCAAAGCCCGGCATCGCTAGGGTTGAGCTCCCGCTACGGAGAAGGGAGGCCACAGCGACAGCTTGGTGTCCCAAAAGGAATCATTTGAAAAGCGGTGTCCCGTTGAAAAAGGGCTGTCTTCCCAGACCCTTTACTACTGTATATCTACTTGGGGGGTGCACATGCAGTGTGATGCTTTGGTGTTTCTCACGCCGGTGATGCCACTATTAGCCGCTAATGCCACGTGATGGCATAATCCGAGCCTGAGTCCAGTCACAGAAAGAATCAGGTAGTGGGAGATAGTCCATGACTTGAAAGGGAGGTTGAAGAATCCAGTGGCGTTCATCCCAAATGTCAGTGTTCTTGCTGGTAAGGAACCTCCAATCCCACGAGTCTGGTCTTGCATTGTTAGGTCAAATTGAGTGCCAAAGATGTCGATCTCTCACCCTCCTTCATCCTGCAATCCTTTGATATAAAGATGACTGAAAATCCTCTCAACACTGGGTCAATGCTTAGTTCGATGTCTTTGTGCCGGGCTGCCCATCTCCTGCCCGCAGCACTCCGTATAGCACCCAAGAAGCCGGACGAACCATCACAAACACCGACGAAACGGGCGAAAACCGGGGAAACGCGTCACGTCGTTACGCAGGACGAGATGGAGTATGGAGGATTCATGGACTCCAACCGCTTCGGCATGGACGCTTGCTTCGGCAAGAAAGGGCGGGACAACCCGTGCAGGGTTCCTTCGAGCGCTTTTGGTTGGGCGGAAGGCCTGAAGTGGACGGATGATTCGATGGTTATGTAACTATTATTAATGGTTATTCCTCGTTACGAGGGGTTGGAAGGTCCATGGGCAAACTGTTGGGATCGGTATTTGGAACGGATTGGCTTGAGGAAATCTTTGAGCCCATTGAACCTTTTTGAGCACATTGGACCTCTTTGATTGGAGAGCAGGGTGATCCACATGGTCAACCTGTGGCCAGCAAAGCTCGCCCAAGAAGATAAGAGGTGGGTCGACCCAAAGCCGGGTACTCTCATTGAGGGGTGGTTGATTTATGTGGAACATGGTGGAACATTCCTTCAACCTCACCAAGAGAGTGCTGGGCGTTCTCTATGTCGAGTCTTTTTCAGCCTCCAAGAACATCAGAAGTCCAACTTCGACTAAGGTGAAGAGTGACAAGCAGCTGGAGGCCCAACAAGCTGAGTTAGCAGGCCAAGTGCGGAGATTCATCGCAGCCAAGTCTGAAAATGCTGCAGAATGGGAATCCTTTTGCTTGGAGCTTGGGCTTGGACTGCCCACGCTTGTCGGTGGTGTTCTTGTCGCGGTGTGTCGTTGAGTCGGGAGACCCCCTAAGGCCTGGATCGCGCAATGGGTGGGCTGGTCTATTTTCCTTCTTCCAAGGTGTTGAACTGGGAAGTCTCCCTATTGTAACGCACACCCAGTGATAGAAATCCAGAGTTGGTGCAGTTCAACCGCTTAGAGACAAAGTGAGCGTCAGTGAGGCGTGTAAATGAGCAGCTCGGCCCGAGCCACCATGTTGTTCTTTTGCGACTGCCTGTTTCTTTAAGGCCTCTCACATGTTTTCGTCCTTTTGAGTGATGTTGTGTCTGAAAGCTGAACGTCATGCACTTGGAAGCACACTGGATCCCCTCAACCTCGTCTTCCACCCCCTGACCTCGACCCAAGGACCGTTGGGACCCGGACGACGCGGACAGCCGCGCCGTGCGCGGCGAGATGGCTAGCCGCAGCGAGTTGGGGCGCCGCAAGACGGCCTTGGAGTCCTGGTTGGACGCGGCTCCTCGGTGGCGTCCCTGGTGGCTGGCGGTCGACGCGGTCTATTCACATTCATGCACATGTCACGTTTTCGATCATTTTTTGGGCCTAATTGTATACATCTGGATCTTCAATCGGCCAAAACGAAATCGCTGGATGCATTTTTAAGTGAAAACCGTTTTAGAGGTTGCAAGCATGTCAAAGTACGTGGATGGGGAAAGACGCCGTTTGGACGCCTAAAAGCACAGTTTTCTTTTGGTTTCTGCTGGTTTCCGCCTGGCCACAACAAATAACGCCCGCTTTGGGAAACGACGCCGTAGCGGCCTTTTTCTTGAAAGACAATTTTTTGTGCCGCTTCGATAATCCAGGTAAATGCCAGAGACGTGCGGTAAGCAGGAACATCAATGCCTCCTGTAGCGCTTGCGTTCAAAGAAGAAACATGTTTTGGAACCATCCCTTCGAAGAGGGTTTGCAACCACACCCCCAGTTAGGAACAAGAAAGAACAAAGCAACAAGAAAATGGAACACAAACGAAGGCAATCATATTTGGGACAAGCAATATGTATATACATATAGGAGGAAGAGGAACAGAATAAGGAGAAGGCAAGGAAAAGGAAAACAAACAAGGAAAATAAGGAACAGGAAAACAAACAAGGAAAATAGTGAAACGGTAAAACACACGGATTGAGACAAGAATTGAGCAAAAGGATAAAGAAAACAACAGTAAATGAACATTAAAGGGAAAGGAGAAAGAGAAAGAACACAAAATGCATATAGAACGGAGAAAAGAGCGAAGGATAGCAAAGGCAGTACGTATAATAGAAAACAAACAGAAACAGGTCAACAAAAAGGAGAAGAACATGAAACAGTAAAGATATAGAATAATAAGGAAACGGAAACAGGAAAAGGATTAATGAAATGGAAAAGGCACACGACTTAGTAAAGGGCAAAGCAACACTAACAATGACAGGAAAGCACACCAGTAAGCGCAAAGGCGGTTTGCCTACTGCACTCCGCTGTGGCTTAATAGATCATGTAAGGACAAAAACCGAACATATATTGAAGCGAGAAGGGAAAGAAACGAGAAAGAAACACCTCAACATAACATGAAAAGACAAGACCCACGTATAAGCGAAAAGCACAAGAAGAAGGGCACGACACAAATAACATGAAAAACAGAAACGGAGAACGGAACAGAAAACAGACACATATAGCAAAGAGGAGCAGGACAAGGATAAGGAAAACATAGCAAAGAGAAAACACAAGGTAAGAACCATGAAATTAGACTATAAAAGTAAGAAAGGAATAGGACCAACGCATGAAAAGAATGGGGCAAGTAGAAGGTAAAATGAAAAGAAACGGAACACACAGGACATGTACTTGGATAGGTCATTATTTACTGCACCAAATTGGTTTGATTAGTGGGTGGTCAGAGGGTCAGACATGCTCAGACGGACTTCCCCATGTTCCGTGAAAAGTCGGCTCAGGAGACGGGCAAAGCACCGCCTTCGGGTGAGAAGTGGGGCGTTTGAGAACGAAGATTTGGCGCTTGACTTGGTCAGTGCTGTGGAGAAAAGCTCAGACAGTTGGAAGTTGGTCCCTGAGAGGAAGTTGGTCCCTGGGATGTTTTAGTACTGCATTTCATATCGCATGGCGTCACATGGTCATAAAGAGTGCAGGGCTAGGCAAGGCCACTCGCATCGACTCAAACCCTTGGTCCGTTCCTGCATGTTGCATCGACTGGGATGTTTTCATGAATCCTCAATGTCTTTTTCCTTCCGTTTGATACTGCAGCACAGTCACCTGCGGTTTGCCAAGAACCCGAACAAGAACCCGAAGATCCGCAGACCCGGCCATTCGGAACCCGCGCACCCGAATCTGTATGCCTTCCGCCTATGTTCATATCTTTTTAATCACTTGTACTTAGGCGACTTCAACATGTTTGGATGGAGGGTGGACCTCTTCTACTTCTCAAGTGCTCCCATCCTCAACAAAACGATGCTAGTTCATCCCACATTTTCGCTAGGGTTCGTCCCTCTCTTCCTCTTCCAAGCCGTTGTGGGGCCACTGTGGTTCCCCACGGTGCTCCAGGCGGTGTTGCTTCGCGAATGGCTTCGAGGTTTGGAGGCTGCGACGTGAAGAGCCGAGATGTGCCGCAGTGGTTGTGGCACCGTCCGAAGTGCCCCAAAACCATCCAAAAAGATGTTCACCAATAGGATAGAATGGAACTGTTTAATGGAAGGTCCAACAAGGTCCAGTCCATGATCCAAAGACCACATTGGACACCGGGGTGTCCCGGTGTCCCTGTAAGACGTCGGTCAACACTTTTCACTGATCACTCACTCTTTTGGAGAAAGGGCTGCAACCGAATCATCATCATCATCATCATCATCATCATCATCATCATCATCATCAT